GAGAGAGAGAGAGATTTTTCCAGCTGGACTGACGGTATAATTTAAAGGGCAGCCTAGCGGCGAGCAAGAATATTTGTTTCTCGAGCGTGTTCTCTCTAGTCGAGGATCGAAAGCAAGGAGCGGTGAATCGCGGCGGAAATCCTGTAAGCACGCTTCCCTGGCGGGTTTTTGAACGAAACAAGCTCGGTTGGTTTTAAAGGGTAGCTTATTATACCAGTGCGCTGTTTCCAGCCACCCATCTCTCTACAGCCTACCCCGCCCCCTTGATATCTCCATCTTGCTGCTCGATGAAATTTTGCTATTGAACGCGCATCGTTGCACCAGCCTGCTTGTGGTGCAATAATTAAGGTGCACGTCTACATCGTACAGCGATTCCGTCGTTATTGATCCGACAGCGACGGGCTCAATGTTAATTACCGGCTTAGTCAGCCGTTCCTCTGGATATTTTCACCGTGATTAAGGTTAATATATAGTGTTCGAATTGTAACGCTCTCGTTGCAGGTTAATTTCATTGGAAATTTCACGCCGTCGTTTATCGTTCCTGGCGAACGATACTTCTGACGAAAATTTCCCGTTCATTCATTAAAATTCGCTAAAATTATTATCCCTCGGTATTACCTGTTCCTTTCCATTGGTATTTCAATTTTATTCATTTAATTTCTTTAACATCTTCATTCGCTCGTATCGACCTACTTTGTGGTGTTATTCACTGCCGGTACAACGTTGCTTAAAACACCAAAGAAGCGGACTCTCCTTCTTCGTGTATTTTTATCTCCCAATTCTTCTTTCGTTGAATTCTTTCGCCGCTTGTTTACTCGTTTATTTACACTGGAGATGTGCTCGATAATCCGATTTCATCCGCGAAATGTGTACATAATAGAAAATTATCCCTTTCAATTATAAAGTTATCCCAAGGATAGCCAAGGGAAGACGTAACTTTTTTACTTTCTCTTGGAATTTATTTCCTCCTGTTGCTTTATCTTGCCATTTCGTTTGTTTACATTCCTCGTTTTACTCTTTTCAATAAAAGCCACCCCACCGCATCCTCCGCGATAGTTTCGCGACCGCGTCTCGAGCCGCAAGAAACGAATCCACTTCTTGAGAGAAAATTTTTAAAGAGGAACCGTAGTTCGATGCTTCGAGCGTTTATCTTTTGTTCTTTGCCAAATAAAGGGCGGAAGTTCGTCGGACGGATGGTAGAGCAAACGGTTGCGAAAGTTTTCATTCGGCCGGCGAGTCGAGTTCAGCTTATAAAACTTCACCGTGTGTAACGAATGCGGGAAAATGGAATAAATAACGAAGGCCGGAAATGGCGAGCGTGATTTCGATCGAAAGAGTGGTGAAGGGGAGGGGGAGGGGGAGGGGGA